AACTAATCAGGATTGACCTTGGTTAGTACTCGGATGGGAGACCACCAAGGAAGCCCAGGGTCGCTACGCAGAGGCAGGCAACGGCAACCCCACCTCTGCTCATCTCTTGCTTTGACCTGGGTGGCCCAGGTTAGCCTGATCTCATCAGATCTTGGAAGCTCAGCAGGGTCAGCCCTGGCTTGTACTCGGAGGGGAGACCACCCAGGAAGCCCAGGGTTGCCGTGCAGAGGTAGGCAGTGGCTAAGCGCCTCTGAACGCCTCTTGCCTTGAAAACCCTGTGCGGCCACTATTAAGTCGGCCGCAAACTGACGGCACTTTACACAGACACACAGACACACAATTCTAAAGGGCTGCATATCCTCTACATCTGGGAAAGTCACACTCTGCAGCCTGTTCGAATTACAACTCTGGCTTTATCTGTTCTCTCCCAGTGCACAGAACCGGAACAAACAACGTTCCAAGGTAAACACGAGTCTCGCACATTTAAATTTATCAGTGCACAGTAGCAGCAGCTGTGCTGCTACCTCTGCAACGCTGGCAACGCCGGTTTGGTTAGGGAAGGCAAGGCAAGAAACCCCTGGCACTGGCGAAAGCGACAGATGAGAAAAGTCCCCGGGGTGCTGAAAAATCATGCGCAGAAAGAGTAATGTGTCTTCTGGTTCCTCTCGGGGACTTTTTTTTGCAAATTTGATACCTCTTTCAGGGAGCTTTTGGCTCTTTCTCTCGGATCCTCTGCCAGAATGATAATCGTGGTGTTGCCCAGGGTTGTGTTTACCTTGAGCAAACGGCAGAGGTAGGGCAAAGGTAGGGGGCGGAAGTCCCTTGGGGAATTCTGATGCAAGTACCCGGAAACTGCCCCAAATCGCCAGCTGCGTCGGGTGCCTCGTGGCCTGCCGAACAAACTGCCGAACAGACGCGAAAAACAGCCCTTTCTCTGTTTTGCAGCGACCAAGTCTCTCCCAAGTGGCGGCTGTCTTTAAATTTTGTTTTTTTGGAAAGAGCGGCTGTATGGTCTCCCGGGCAGCCTTCCCGAATTAGATTTCCATGCACGTGGGTCAGCTGTTCGACACTGGGGATTGGGCATCTGCGCCTATCTAAATACCCAAGTCCCTTGTCGCCGTTGTTTTTTACCGTCAAGTCACAATTTGACTATGGTGGCCCCGTGGAGTTCTCGAGGCAAGAGGCATTCAGAGGCGGTTTGCCGTTGCCTGCCTCTGCGTAGCAACCCTGGTCTTCCTTGGTGGGCCAGCCCCCCATCCAAGGACTAACCACAGGCTGACCCTGCTGAGCTTCCGAGATCTGACCAGATCGGCCTAGCCTGGGCCATCCAGACAAAGAACGGTGGTTCGGCAAGGCCTGCCTCTGCGTAGCAACCCTGGACTTCCTTGGTGGTCTCCCATCCGAGTACTAATCAGGGCCGACCCTGCTTAGCTTCCGAGATCTGTCAAGATCAAGCTAGCCTGGGCGATCTAGGTCAGGGCAAGAGACAAATGGCGGCTCGCCCTTGCCTGCCTCTGCGTAGCGACCCTGGGCTTCCTTGGTGGTCTCCCATCCGAGTACTAATCAGGGCCGACCCTGCTTAGCTTCCGAGATCTGTCAAGATCAAGCTAGCCTGGGCGATCTAGGTCAGGGCAAGAGACAAATGGCGGCTCGCCCTTGCCTGCCTCTGCGTAGCGACCCTGGGCTTCCTTGGTGGTCTCCCATCCAAGGACTAACCAGGGCCGACTCTGCTTAGCTTCCAAGATCTGAAAAGATTGGGCCCAAGTCACTTAGCATACCTTAAACATTATGGCTTGCGCTTCCCATATATTTCTGAACTCTCTATCAATGTCCTCTTCAAGTGTGGCTACCAACATTCTAACAATCCCATGTATAGATAACAAACAAATTATACAGTACAGAGCACGTTTCACATGAAGCTGCCTTCTACTGAATCAGACCCTGGGTCCCTCAAGGTCAGTCTTGTCTGCACAGAATGGCAACTGCTCTCTAGGGTCTCAGGTCAAGGTCTTTCACATCGCCTCCTACCTGTTCTTTGAACTGGAGAGGCCGGGGATTGAACCTGGGACCTTCTGCATGCCAAGTAGAGGCTCTGCCACTGAGCCAGGGTCTCAGGTCAAGGTCTTTCTCATCACTTCCTGCGTGGTCCTTTTAACTGGAGAGGCCGGGGATTGAACCTGGGACCTTCTGCATGCCAAGCAGAGGCTCTGCCACTGAGCCAGGGTTTCAGGTCAAGGTCTTTCCCATCACCTCCTGCCTGGTCCTTTCAACTGGAGATGCCGGGGATTGAACATGGGACCGTCTGCATGCCAAGCAGAGCCTCTGCCACTGAGACACTATTTAAAATATTACTGGATTGTTCATAACTCAAACTGTTTTTGAGCTTCCAAATATATAACAGCAAAACTTGACTCAGAAGTGGTTTTATGCATACACACCCCAATATTCTCAGCACTCCTGATTCTATGAGTAGGGGTCATCTAAAAGTCGATTAATGGCTGTAGTTACAGTTAATCAATTTAGACATCATGGCAAACCATCATTAGAACAAACCACGGTTTGCAAACTCACTTCAAGCAGTGTCAAGATGGGTTGCCGTGTTAGTCTGTCCGTAGCAGTAGAAAAGAGCAAGAGCCCAAGAGCACCTTAAAGACTAAGAACTTTTGTGGCAGGGGAGGAGCTTTCCTGAGTCACTGCTCACTTCTTCAGATACAGCGAGAATGAGAGTCCATCTGTCCTTCTGTCTTGGAGAGTGGAGTGATTTCAGATGCCCAATGACAATAGCAGGTGTGATTGGATTAGGTGTGATATACAGAATAGTAGTAGGTGTGGAGAAATCAGCACTGATAATGAGACAGGAAACCTAGGTCTCGATTATGTCCAGATGGATGCATTGTCTTGAGCTTCTGATAACGAATATCAGAATATTTTAATAAAGAACAGCTAGTGCTCATGCTATTAAATAGGATGCTCATAAAGCTTTTATTAGAGGGGGAATCATTGCATACACTTCTCATAAGAAGAAGCTTAGAGAAATGAAATGCATAACTTTGAAAGATAGGTTGAAATATCTAAGTATCCCTCACACCAGATCTTTATCGGGATCTGCAAAAGGTTAAATATGGACTAAACAATGTCATATCAGTGAAAGCACAATACGTTTTAACCTGTTTGCGCCAGTCATATTGGGAATGGGTTATCTAGGTGAATGAGTAACCAGCTCCAGGAGGGACAGATATTAAAGGAAAAAATGAACCGATCTTGCTTAGCCAAGAGAACGTTTGTCTCTGTCCATTATTTTTGAAAATTCTTGGAGAACATGTGAGGTGCCAGAAGATTGGAGGCGGGCAAATGTTGTCCCCATCTTCAAGAAGGGGGGGAAAGGAGGATCCAGCTAACTACCGACCCATCAGCTTGACGTCTATACCTGGGAAAGTTTTAGAACAAATCATCAGACAGACAGTCCTTGAGCATTTAGAGAGGACAGCTGTGATTACTAAGAGGCAGCATAGGTTTCTCAAAAACAGGTCATGACAGACTAACCTTATCTCTCTTTTTTAAGTTACTACCTTGCTGGATCGGGAGAATGCTGCAGACATAGTTTATCTTGAATTAAGGAAGGCTTTTGATGAGGTTCCACATAATATTCTTGTTGATAGGTTGGTAATATGTCAGTTGGATCCTATGACTGTTAGGTAGATGTGTAAATGGTTGACAAATTGTACCCAAAGAGTGCTTGGTAATCATTCCTCATCATCTTGGAGAGGAGTGACAAGTGGAGTGCCTCAAGGATCTGTTCTGGGACCTGTTTTGTTCAACATCTTTATAAATTATTTGGATGAAGGAATCGAGGGAATACTTGTTAAATTTGCAGATGATACTAAATTCGGAGGGGTAGCAAATACGGTAGAAGATAGAGTCAGGATACAGGATGATCTTGACAGGCTAGAAAACTGGGCCAAAAAAATTAAATGAATTTCAGTGCAGATAAATGTAAAGTTCTGCATTTAGGTAGGAAAAATCAAATGCTTCATTATAGGATGGGGGAGACTTGTCTTGGCAGTAGTATTTGTGAAAAGGGTCTAGCGGTCTTAGTAGACTATACACTGAACATGAGTCAGCAGCAGTGTGATGTGGTAGCCAAAAAGGCAAATGCCAGTTTGGGCTGTATCAACAGAAGTATAGTGAAGTGATGATATAGCTTTACTCTGCTCTGGTTAGACTTCACCTAGAGTATTGTGTTCAGTTTTGGAGACCACAGTTTAAGAAGGATCTAGACAAGCTGGAATGTGTCCAGAGGAGGGCAACGAAGATGGTGAGGGGTCTGGAGACCAAGTCCTGTGAGGAAAGGCC